AATTTCATTAAAGCTGCCACATGTATTATGTCTCTGTGGGACACATGAATCACTGTACTGCAGGAATCTTAATTTAGTGTAAATTAAATGGAACATACTTATGGTGATATAAACAGTAGCTTAAGTGTAAAAATATAATTGTTATAGATTTCTCGCCTGAGTGGTTTGATACTTACGTTGTGAAAATGTGTGAGACTGCCCAAGCTTGTGCAATATAGGGTGTCATTCCATCTGACGACAAGCAGTGTGTTAAGGGTAATGACATTTTTAAAGGGCCATCGGTATGGGAGAAATTGCTAATCAAGATAGGTCACTCGTGTCCTTCACTGTAACTTATTATAAAAACCCTAATTAGAAAATTTTACTTCTGGGGCTTTTATAATTCTCAGTATTAATTTTAGGCTAGATTATTGTTTTTATTATTAACCGTACTTAAAAAAATGTCAACTTTTTATAGTGCTTCTTAGCAGCGTTGCTGATTTAAAGATGGGGTTGTCAAAAATATCTTAAAATTATTTTCACTTAAGCATAGACTGTGTATTGTTTATTTATATGAAATGTCAGGGTTCAACTTCTTTGTGATTATATGTATTATTAGCTAACTCTGGGGGATTTGAATGATCTGCACAGTTGTCTTAATCTGCTTCATTTCTCTTGTGTAGACGCAGCGTAACAGCCTCCTCTCCAGAGTGTCGATGTTACCCTTTCCTTTAAGAGCTGGTGCTCTTTATTCTTAAATATGAAATCAAGCTGTAGGTTAAAAGCAAAAGGCAATAAAAATATTGATTTTTTGCTTTTAAAACGTCAAATGTTAAAAACCTAATTAATACTATTTTTGGAATGTTTTATGAGTACATTTGGGATTCCTTAAAAGTTAAACTGAGGTTATGAAACCTTTAAGCCTACTGGGAATGAACTGTTTGGGCCTTTGGGTCCTTCAGGGGACACATCAGGGACCACTAGTGTTGATGTCCCTCGCTGTTGGGGACGTCGCTGAGACAGGCTCTGCCTCCTGGCCTCACCATCTTTGCCTGACAGCAGCTTTCTAACCAGTTAGGCTTGCCCTTTGCTGGTCCACCACCTGTGCCAACATGCGAGTAATATTTTAAAATGCAAAAATATTAGTTCTCAGCTTGCAGGCCATTGATGGCCCCTCCATGCTGAACTCCAGCCCCTCCTGATGTTCTCCTCCTGCATCCATCGGTAAATAACCTCTAACTTTACCCTCTTGGAGCACATTCAAGCTGCTTGCTGTCACTGAGCCTTTCTCAGCCTCTCCTCTCTGCTGGGATGCGCTTTCTCACTTCACTTAGCTTCCTTTTCAAGGCTCTGCTGAGCTGTCATCTCCTCTGAAAAGCTCCCTGACTTTCTAATGCCCTTGGTTTTGGCTTGGCCCTTGCTGGGAGTCCTCCTAGTGCCTTGTGCACTTTCCCTTACTCTTCTGATGCAATTTTTTGAAACGATTGAATTTGGTTGCTTAAGCCTTGAGAATGCCTCACCAGCACCACAACTGTATCCTGCTCTGTATGAACTCGGTGCTCAGTGCAGGGCATGAGTCTCATCTTGAAACGTGTGTGTTGAACTCAAATGAAGTGATGGAGATAAACCTTGATCAACAATGGCCTTTGCACTATCAGGCAAATTTGTTTTCAGCAAAAGGATATAGAAGCTTAGATAGATTTAGGTAAGTATATATATAGCATGTCTTTAGGAGGTTCTCAAATTTTGGAGAAGGGTCTCTTTTTATCTCTCATAAGCATGATGACTGTGACTGTTACAGAGTATTAAAGAAAATGGGTGCAGTAGCAGTGACATCAGCTTATTTTATATTTTTTCACAAGTTTGTTACTCTAAGGAAATGCAGCATGTCATGTTGTTTCATTGTAAAAAATTTTATTGAACTTAACGACGTCGCAACTAATAAACCTGCCATATGGTGACAAAATATCACCCGGCAAAATTCGATAACTGTAAATGTAGGGAGAGTGTACACCTTTTGTTATGATTGGTTTCCTTATTTTAAAAAAAAGCTATAAAAAGGCAGAAAAATGCCTTAAGAGGATGTTGTCAAATGGGTAAAATATAGCTACTCATTTAGTCTGTAAACACAATCATTCTTAGTGGATGAACAGGTAATACCTGGCACCTTGTAAAATTCTGACTTCAGTATTTTGTCATTTTTCATGGCTTTATGCAGCCACATGATTTTGGTGAGGTTTAAGTTTGGGGTATTCATCTGCAGCCAAAGTGAAAGGTCCCCAGCTCGATTCCTGGCTGAAAGCTGCCTCTTTGTCACCTCTCCCTGGGGACCAGGCCTGGGCAAAATGCTTCCCTTCTTTGTGCTCACTGTCAACCCAATAGAATGTAAGATCCATGAGATCATGGAATTTTGCCTCTTTTGTCAAAATTAGAATATCTTGCCCTGGTCTGTGTGGCTCAGTTGGTTGGAGCATCATCCTGTATACCAGGAGGTGGCAGGCTCGATTCTTGGCCAGGGGACATTCCCGGGTTGCGGGTTCAATTCCCAGTCTAGGCGAGTGCGGGAGGCAGCCATTTGATGTTTTTCTCTCACATCGATGTTTTGTTTTTTCTCTCACATCGATGTTTTGTTTTTTCTCTCTTTCTCCCTTCCTTTCTCTCTAGTAAAAAATAAAATAAAAAAATCAATGTATCTTAAACACTTAATACAGTGTCTGGTACAACGGACCCCTGTGGGCCTTGAACCTCTCTCTGTCAAGACCTAGATCTGTGGAGTTTAAATTTCCAGGGTGTTTAAAATATAAGCTCTATCCCCAAGTTGTAAACAAAAGACTTCCTTCATGCTAAAGAAATCTTGGGGGGTATATTTTTGAAGAATGGATCTCTTTTCGGTCTCCTGAAATCACTCTCAACATCAGCTGTAACATCCATTTTTATAAGACAGTACCAATAGACTGCTCTGTAGTGGGTTCAGAAACTGTGTGTGTGGAGTGCGCGCAATAAAGAGGTTTTGGGGGAAAATTCTTTTCATCTTCTTTCCCATTTCGCATGAACTTTATCTCACAACACTTCTCTTTCTTTTTCCTTTGCGACATGGAGCTGAGCCTCCTCCAAGACGATTTCACCTTTCGACAGTAGAAGCCGCCCCTCTGGAGCCCCTTCCCAGGCTGTGCCTGCACCCGGCGAGGGGTGTGCTGTCTGGCAGAGGCTTCCAGGCGCGCCCCGCTTTTGGTTTGGGAGGCGGGGTCCACTGCGGGTAGACTCCGGGCCTCCGCTCCGGGATAACTGCGCTCTGGATATCTGCGGCCCTCTGTGTTCCATGCTTTTACTTTTTTCCCTATTGACCTGGGAGAGAGGACTGCAGTTTAGAAATCTAGACTTAAAGAGCTCATTGTTTTTCAGGTCATGCTTGCAGATACTGAAATTTGGTTTTCCCCACTCCCTGTCTCACCCTGGGACGTGGGTCAGAAGATTCGAGCTCCAGGCTCCTGGGGCTTGCTAGCTTAGCGCCTCTCAGCCATGCTTTTCTCTTGTGTCCCTGGGGACGACAGTGCTGACCCCTCAGATGTGTTGTGAGACTTGAGTAAGACGAGGTCTGAGGAAGGACGTTAGAGTTGGGAAGGATAGCATCCTCAAGGCCGTGCGTCACACCCCGCGCCGATGCGAGGTTTATACACTTGGAAAATTAAACTTGCTTTTTGCCACTGCAGCTCTTCTTGGAGCTGGTAGAAAGCTTAGAGACAATTTGTCGGCACTTTTAGCAAGGACTTCATGCCATCGGTTTGTGCGATCGCCTCGTTTCTCCATCCGTTTCTGCCTCTATCTCTAACCTTTGCTCTTCTTTCCGACTTGCGCGTTCTGGCTGCGTGATGTGCACCCTGATATAAGCAGCCGGAAAGTCTTTTTGGAGCAAGTTGTGGGAAGAAGAGCCGGCCACACAAGTAAATATTGTTGCACCACTTTGCTTTCTTCTCCTTTGAGTTTTAGAGCGAGGATGGGCAGCCACACTGTTCCTCGGGAGAGCACTTTGCAAGTGTCACTTTCTCTACAATAGGAACCCAAGTGTCAACGCCAGTCTGTTGGAGAGAGACCGCTTCTGGGGCAATGGGGTGAATTTTGTCAGCTCCTTGACTGAAAAATAACCCATGATTCTTAACTGTTACCTTTTAGAATGAACATTTTTTTACAAGAAAAATGCAGACAACCTTTATATTGAAATTGGCCATTTGTAATAAACTTTATTTCAAGTTTTTCCCATATGATAATCAGGGAGTGTTTAACTAAAGAAAGTATTTTATCGCTTCAAGATAGGTCCTTGTACAAAGTTATTTTTCATTATCTTTTATTTAGAGTGCCCCTATTTGGCATTCTAAGTTCTGACTCACATCCAGAAATGAGAAATAGAGGCAGGGTAGAACCAATGTCCATATTTTAAGTATTGTTAATATTTTATCGGAATTTTATTTTGTGTGCATTGTATGTGACACTGAATGGTAAATTGCTTTTTAAGTGCAATTTCTTTGTTGAAAAATCAGATTTAGATAATTTTATTAACTTGCACCTATTCTCTAAATTGAGAGCCTATTGCTACAAGTGGATGATCTGTAAACAAGGGTTAATTTATTGATACGTCTATAGCAAATTATTGGTCAGTCCGAGACTCAAACCATAGCTTTGCCTTCTGATCAGTGCTAAGTTTATATCTCAGGGAGCACAGCTACTGCATTTGTTTTCTTTATCTAAAGTTAACAAAGTTAAAGTGAAATGATATACATATCATTACCAAGATATTTCAGAGTTTTTGAACTTCTACTGTACCTGGCCGTTATAAGAATTTCAGCCAAACCCACACAGTGTAAATTCATCTCACAGTTGTGATGTATTTCTTATTTTGGCTCTATGAATGTAATCTGTGGAGCCCATGAGTGTTTTTTGGCACAATATGTCCCCAGTGTTTATATTGCTGTGCTGATGAATACGTTTGAGTTGTAATTAAATAGAATTTATTTTATTTTTTTCAGTTCTGTCGGGAGGTCCATTGCCTCAAGGGCATGAATTTGAACTGTATGAAGTTCGATTTCACTGGGGAAGAGAAAACCAGCGTGGTTCTGAGCACACAGTTAATTTCAAAGCTTTTCCCATGGAGGTAAGAATAACAGATCATCTCGTAAAACTCTTATTGTTCATGGAAAGTATTCAGCGATTTACTGAAAATGGTTTAGTTTAAAAGTAGATGCACAGCTTTTGAATTTTTACCAATTTACATTAAAATTAAAAAGTGTGTAATGAAATGTAAGCTTAGGGCAGCAAATGAAGCTTCCCGGGGACTTCAGTGGGCTTGGAGGATGCACATGGGCTGTTGGACATAAAGGTAATCTGTTAAGTGAAGCCGTTAAGCTTCATCCTGCTATTGCTGCTGTAAAAATTCTCCTGCCTCTGCAGATTCCGTAGGTCACTTTTGTGGATGCTCTGAATTGGTAATAAGCTGAAAACAAATAACTTTTGGAGAAACCTCAATAGTCATTAAAGTCTAGTTTAGGTCTGATTAAAATTGGTAGGTTGGATCTATTTACCACAAGCAATTAGCGCACGAGAGAGATCTTTAGAAAGTCATTTTTCTGTTTGAAGAATTCCTCTTCTCATCTTTTTTAGTCAGCGGCTGCTCTTTTTCCAATATCTGGTCGAAGTTATCATTTCTTCCTTGGGACTTGAGTTCCTTCTCTAAGCAGAATGACTTTCTCCCTGATCGTTGATCTCCTGCTTGGTAGATTGAGGCCTTGGCACTGATCTCATGGATTGTAACCTTTAGTGTCTAAAGTGTCTTTCTCACTGACTGTGGGCTTCTGTTATGGACACAATGTTTGTGTACCCCCCAAATTCATATGTTGAAACTCTACCCATCCCAGTGTTGTGGTATTAGGAGGTGGGGCCTTCGGGAGGTGATTTGGGTTAGACGAGGTCATGAGGGTGGGGCCTTCATGAATGGAATTCGTGCCCTCGTAAGAGTCCGGAGAGTTTGCTTCTCTGCTCTCTGCCTTGTGAGGCCAGGATGAGAGCACAGCCATCTACAAGCCAGGACGTGGGCCCTCACCGGGCATCAGACCTGCCAGCACCTTGATCTTGGACTTCCCAGCCTCCAGAACTGAGAACTAAATTGTTGTTTAAGCCTCCAGTCTGGCAATTTGTTACACAGCCTGAGCTAAGGAAGCTCCTGACGAGAAGGCCGCCCCTCATTTCCATTTTACTATCATCCTTTCACGCAGTGCCAGGACCGTCAGAGACAACCCAGGCTGGTAGTTGAGATGTCCCTGTTGGTCCTGGCCTTGTTTATATTTCTTTCATAAGGACCCACTGTCCGGGACATAGCCCTCCAGCAGCAGGTAATATTTTGGGGGATGCTGGGATGCCTGCCTTCCTTCTCTGTTGTCCCCAGCTGCACATATACTTAACCTTGTATGGCTCTGCTCGTGGTCAGTCCACGTCCAGTACTGCCTCAGTGACTGAAGTCACTACTGTATAATTTTTATAAACACCATATGCCTCAAAGAATGAAGTTAGAGGAAGTATTTCCCAACATTTCTTTAATTACAATTTTAAAAACTCCCTTTGGAAGCTCAGAATACCCCTTTCATTAAAAAAAACCTCAAATCTTAAAAGTGAAATAATGAATGTCTTGACGATGGAAGAGAAAAAACACACAATTGCAGCATATTGAAGAGAATATGTGAGATATATATACACACACACATATATACATGCACACTTTCGTGATGGTGAGGACAATAACAGCTTATTAAAGGCCTTGATTGGGAAGGTTGGGTCTTCAAATGTCACCTTCCTAGGGCTTTTTCTCAAAGCCCACAGACACCCTCTCTTTTCTAACTGCCTTAAAACAATTCTGCCCTGTCTCTGTGTCACCTCTGGCTACTGCTCTGTCCTTACTCACCATGAGAAGGAAAAGTTCACACCAGATGCAACAAAGAGGAAAGAGGACCCTCCAAAACAATTAAATCTACGGGGTGTGGAGGGCCAAGAGGGGTAGGAAAGGCCGCTGGATCGTTTTGTTTCTACCAGCCCTCAAAGACCTGCTTTAATAATAAAAACTTGAGGGGGAGATGGAATAATTGGGTAGGCAACAACCTCTTGATGGGAATCAGTGGCCTCGCTTGTGACGCACGGTATTTACCGTCTTGGGAAAGTTTCCTTAGGTTAGTGAGTCAGTGGCGTGTGCTCTTTGCTCTGCGGTTGGATAGAATTTCTGGACCAGATGTTCAGACTGGTTCTGCTCCTTGGTGGTGGTGTAGCTGCTCCAGTCCATTAACCACAGGTAATGAATGGTTTGTTTGGAGTGGAAATTAAATTCTGGTAGTGAGGCTTTGTTTCTGTAGAAATCGTTATAGTTAGCATCATGGGATGACTGACTGTAGTTTTTCCAAAATAGGTTATGAATAATATTTGTATCCTTTGTTATCCCAGATTATCCCTGACCCAATCTAAGAGAAAATACGTGTATCAATCACCCCGGTGTTTGTTTAGTGCTGTGTCCTATTGAGTGCATGAATGCTGTGGGTGTGCAGAATTAGAGGGGATATCTGCAGGCAGGTGGGGTTTTGTTTTGTTTTGTCTTGTTTTAATGGAGGCTGTGAATACCGAGCTGGGCTTTAAGAAGGAGAGGGCTCCCAGGGTATGCTGAAGGAGCGGAGAGAGGGACTCCACATACAATAGTCCAGGGTGGAATGAGATGGCTGATGTGGAGACAGGTAGATAACTTGCCACTGGGGTCCTGGTCCTGAACTGCCATCGAGGGCTACCTCGATCACAAGGGTGAAGCCAACAGGATTAGCTGTGTGTGGGGACCAGGTACCCTTTTGGATACATGATTAAAAATTTTTTTAGGACATTTTCCATATTTTATTTACATTTTAGGACTAATCTCTAATCACATATCAATACATATTTCCTTTTTGTTGATTTCACTTAAACTTCAATGGATGATTTATTAAATAAACACTGTAAACAAATATTTACTTGTCTGTTACATGTAACTTGAATGGCTTTTAACAGAAATTCATCAACCTCCTTCTTGGCTTTTAAGAATGATAAATACAGATATAAAAACAATCCTGAATGTATTTTGTTACTACTAGAAGCCAGCACCCACATCGCTTCAAAAGGTAACACATTTTGTGACTTCAAACAATTTAAACTCTGGCTCTTTCACTAAGCCAGATGGTTAAAGCGTGCAATTTTTGTTTTCCCTTCTTAAGGTTTTTAGTTTTCAGAAACACACATTTCTCGCCGTGCTTGCTTTCATCATGTAAACCTGACTTCTATTATGAATATTCCAGGTTTATGCCTAATGGCAGTTTCCTACCAGGAAAAAAATGTGCTGCATTTTTCTTCTTGTTACCTGAAAACATAATTTTACTTAACATGTGGATATTTTGCATTGTGAAATTTAATCAAGACAGCCACATGAGAAGGTTGTAGATTTAAGACCAACTGGAGATCCCATCAAGTTAATTTCTGTATGTTTGTCCTGGTGGCTGTGGAAGCTTCATATTTTCTTTGATGTCATTAAATGTCTTTGCCTTTGAAGTCCAACCGTCAATGCTATATGAGTGAATTTAGCTCTTTTGCTGACACCGGGATGCTCGGTGCATCCACCATACCACTAGAATTATTATTCCATTCATATTAATTTTGGTTACAAATCTAACTGATGGAGGAAGTTCTAGGTATTTAGGTTCACATTCAGCTTTCAGGCTACATATTCTGTTTTCATCACCTGTTTTTGGAGACTGTCATCATCTTTGCTACCTCAAGGTAGCCTAACTCTGTGGTCTGTATAATTCTTGCTAAATTATGATTAATCTTTATACATGAACAGCTACTTTCATACTTTTGTGGGAGAGTACTTCCCAGGCATTTAGATTTTATGCTGGATCAGTAAAATTTTTTATTTTCATTTTTCAATTACAGTTGACATTCAGTATTATTTTATATTGAATGGTTAGACATTTATATTATTTATGAAGTGATCCCCCCAGTAAGTCTAGTACCCACCTGGCACCATACATAGTTATTGCAATATTATTGACTATATTCCCTATATGCTGTACTTTGCATTTCCCTGACTATTTTGTAACTACTGATTTGTACTTTTGAATCACTTCATGTTTTTTACTCAGGCCTGGATCAGTAAAAAAAAGTTAAAAAAAATTAGAGGATTGGAGATCATCAGCATGGCCAAATTTTATTTTTCCAAATAAAAACATTACTTTCTGCTCTCCCCACCATTCCTTAAAGAGAGGATTTTTACTTTAATAGCTAATTGGAGGAAGGATATGGTTTGAGAATAATAAACACAGACCTATAAATTGAATAGTTTTAACTTTTAAAAAACTCACTTATTTCTGTGTGTCTTATTTCACTGCAGATGAATGATAGTTTTGTCAGGATGGGCACTAATCCTTCCCACAGACCAGCAGGGGAGCATGTATGGTGGGTCTGACTTCCTTGCCCTTTGGACCTAATAAAAGTTTATGATTTGGGAGTGAATTACCACGAAAGAGGCACAGCATATTGTCAGTGAAATGCTTATCTTAATTTATATTGTATTTAAAGTGCAGCTATTGCTGTGTGTACTCTGAAAGGGCTGGGATAATTGAGCAGCCACATACCAGCTGCTTATGGAAAGTTGGGTGCATTAAAAAAGAAAGAATAAACGGAGTTTCATTGTGGAGAGCAAGATTCTTTAATTGTTAAGATCCAGGCCTTGGTTGCAAAATAGGCCAACAAATCATTATGAAGAATTATATATCATANGAAAGAATAAACGGAGTTTCATTGTGGAGAGCAAGATTCTTGTAATTGTTAAGATCCAGGTCTTGGTTGCAAAATAGGCCAACAAATCATTATGAAGAATTATATATCATAATATAGTACCAGTCCTGCATATTACCCACCCCCCTTAGTGTTCCAGGGCTCCAGATTTCTTATATTTCTTCTTTTCAGGCCAATATAGTGCGTACCATTTGAATGTTCTTTTAGTGAAAATGACCTGGCCTTTTGGGTTGCTCCCACCTCATTTGTGCATTCACATGTATTTTACTGCTCTGAGGAGATGCCAGGAAGAGCTTCTTG